CAGAGAGAAGGTAGGGTGAATGATTAATGGAAATGACCTTGTGTATTGCAGTAACAGCTGTTTGCAGGTGTTGACTATTAACTCACACACACACCACCCTTTCTCTGTTTGTTTGGGTTTTTTTCCTTACTGCATTGTTTGTTTTATGCTCCATGTTTTTTTTTTTCACATATAAAGAAGGTCTGGAAGGTATTTACTTTTCAAAAAATATTTTTTGTTTTTCCTTTATAATCTGTTACTTTATTTTCGACGTTTTGGTACGTAATTTTCCTTTCCAGAGTTTCATGTATTATTGTTGTGGTACCCTTGGCTGCTGCTGGTAGTTAGATATGTTTGAGCCCTTTAGAGGGTTGTGGCTCTGGAGATGCAAGTTGTGCACAAAGCCAGTTGCTTTTTTTTTTTTAAATTACTCTCCCAAAAATGGACACTAGAGTTGTGACATGAGGTTGGGTGGGTGGAGTGATATTACTCCTGGGGAGTTTGGGTGGGATTGCACTTCACTGTGACCTTATTAGATTGAGCTATCACCATCTGCTCAGAGCCTCTTTTATCTCTAGTCATTTATGGTGAGCCACTAACACTAAACATTTCATGTTCAGGGAACACATTCTTGATTCAGTTAAAAGTAGTTACCAAATTGTCCTTCTAACCAAAAGGACATACAGAGTCATTCCTTATCCTCTACAGGTCACTTGCACACCCCCAAGGAAGGGGGGATTTGGGCAGGTGGGGCTGAGAATGTTTTGGTGTTTTGAGAGGTCAGTTGCTGTCAGCTGGCAGGGTAGAAATTAATTTTACATCTTTATGGTACAATTTTTGATATCCCACCATGGCTTTCCATTCATCCTGTGGGTAAGTGCTTTTCTGCTAACCTGTGCTTCCTTATATGGCTTAATTGAAGAGTTATTTATTGACAGTAGCAAGGAATTAGTAATTGTTACGGCAAACTTCACCCCTCTTTTCTAAGGAATTATTTTAGCATGGTTCCAATGGTTTATTCAATCTCATTAATTTATTTTTATAAGTGTTAAGAGATGCAAAACAATTATTGCAATATAATGATATGAATGAAAATGTAAATTTAACCTGAAGCATTTATCAATAAATCAATGTATTTTTTTAAACTTTTATACCTACAGAATGTGCATACTTTTTAAACTATAAATTTAAATTCTAAATAAAATTTGAATTAAGAACAAAATCTGTCTGTGCCTAGCTCATGATTATTTAAACCAGTCTAAGCTGTTGTCATCCATTTGCAGTGGCTGCACACGACTTAATTCCTTAAAGACATTTAGCTTTTCAGATATTTTGTTCTTTTGTCATGTCTAAATTGACCCAATGTTTGAGTTAGATAATGCAAAAAAAAGCACTACTCCATTAGCACTCATTAAAGATGCTTGCATTTAAATTTGTTTTTTAATCTTTCATTGTCTGAAATAATCCAGATGATATAAGTGGTCACCTCTTGAATGCATGTAAGCTTTTTTGCCAGGAGGGCTCTGTAACTCGGGGCAGCAGTGCATTGCTCTGTCAACTTTAATATTTTAATATTAAAACAATGGAAATTAGTGACTTGATAAATTGTATTCATGTTAATATCATGAGGTAATTTAAATACTTTAATGTATTGTATTACTCAAACATTTCTTGCTAAAACACATTTTGTATCTTAAAAGTCCTCCTTTAATGAGATATTTCCCAAGTGCTATTTTTGTTATGTTATCCCTTATATATATATATTCTTATAGCTATTATATTTCATACAGTCAGTTATATAGTCTGGTCAAGCTGCATTCTTTTTGTGATTGTTACAGATTCTTAAGGAACAGGATTATTGTGGGAATTACCTTAATCTAGGAACTAGGAAATTGGGAGATTAAAACAACCTGCTTCTACCAAAGCAGTAATTAACTTTTTTACACAGAAGGGCAGCCTCTGCCTGTGTGTGGTTGCAGGGCAGAGCTCCTCCAAACGCTGTAGCCACAGCCAGGAGTCCCCTTTGCTGTGCTGACCTGTGCTGTTGTGTGCTTGGTGGGACTCCTTTGGCATCAGGAGCAGCTCCTGCTCACCAGGGACTGGGAGAGGTTAACGGCAGAGGGCAGAGCCTCTAGTGCAGTTCAGAGAACAAATTGTCCTTGGAGTTTATGGACTTCCTTCAGGTGTGACCTCTGCTTCCAGGTAAAGAAAATGGGTGTGGGTGCTTTTACAGAGGCAGTTCCAGAGGCTTGCACCAAAATCCCATACAAGTGGTTTTACCCAAGCACAAGCCGCTGATGGCCATGTGCAGGGTTGGGTCACAACCAAGAATTGTAGTTTGTAGTCCCCAGGGAAAATCAGAAATGCAAAGGTAGGTTTGTGCCATTCTTTGCTGCCAAGTGCTAGGGATATGATACACTTAGGTGGATTTAGGAGCAGACTAGGTCCATTCGTAGAGTTTTAATCCTTTCCTGTTTGTTTAAATAGGATTTTCCACATTCCAAACACTGCTGGTGCTGTGTGGCTGATCCACCTTTTCTCTTCTCCCCCTTTTAGCTTCCCAAAGTGCTCATTACAGGAGCATGCAAGAGGTGGGTGGGGATGGTGTGGGATGTGGACTAGTGGGGTGGCATGACCTCAGGCTGGCTTAAGCCACTGGGAACGCACATGCTCAGAAACTTCAGGGTTTTTACATCTGTCTTTCGCAATCTGTAACCTATATGTATGTTTGTTAATGCACCAGACAAGAAATGGATCTGCATCTATTCAGACATTTTCTAAAAATAGAAGGAAACATCCCCAGCAGATAGGCAGGATTTTATGGAATAAATCTATAAATCTGATAAACCAGAGACACATGTGGTATTTCTGCTGTCAGATCTTAACCCCTTCATCTTCATCCCCATCCCAAGGAATAGGATGGGGGCACTGGGATTCTTGACAGTAAGTGTATTTTGATGTAGGAAGCTGTTGTCTCACATTCTGGAGCTAACACAAGCTGAAAGATGGTTATTTGGGGTGTGAAGGGCACTGATGTTGCACTGCCATGTAACTGATATGTTTGCTTTAAAATGTCATCCTATATAATGAATTTACTGTTTTCATTCTGCTTGTCTCTTAGAACCAAGCAGGAAAACCTTTAATGTGTCCTAACATCTTCAGGGCAAAATTGGAATGGCCTGACATGAGATGATGCAAAGCTGACCCTACAGGTAATTGAACATTTAGAATTGTATTAGACAGATAAAAAAATCCTGATGGGATGTATAATCTCATGTCTCCTGTGTTACTTGGGAATAGATGAGGAGGAAAACAGATCTCAGGAAGATTATTCCCTTTCCACTGGGGCATTCCTGCAGCTCCCCAAACTACTTTGCTCGAGGGAGGGAGGGGAGCTGATAAGCAGAATCCTGATCTGCTGCCTCTTTGGCTTTACTCTTAGGAAAACCCATATGAAATCCCTCTGTCTTTTGGAATATTTTCTTAATCAAAACTCTTAAAGAGTGCCTCTGTGGTGGGGAACAAGGCTCCTCTTGAGGCTGCTGCCTCTTCTGGGGAGTAGTAACAGAGCTGCAGTGGAGGGGGTTGGCTGGGCTTTCTAGATAAGCCATGACCATGTGATTGACTTATTTATATGTAGTTTGCAGCCCTGTTGAATCAAAAGAAATCTGTGGAAGATATTCTGAGGTGGTATACTAATGAAGTCCAAGCCTGATAATAGGTGAGCTTTTTAATTAGTCAGTTGTATGATATTTACAAATCTGTGTAGAGCAGGCTGTTTGTTAAATATTGATTTAGCAGAGGAGCAGTGTTCTCTTCCTGTTTGTGCTGACTGCAAACACTGTGCTGCAAGTGCTAGAGACATGCTTGTTGAATTTTCCTTGGTTCATATTTACAGCTAGTTCAATGTGAAGGACAAGGAATATTGCTATAATATTTAAACTTCAGAGTAGCGAACAAGAGACCATTTTTCAAACCAAGTGGCTCCAAACCTCTCTTAAATCTGACTAAAGTTCAATCAAAGTTCTAGAAGTACATGACAGGGAGATCCTGGGTGTAGAAAATTGAGGGGGCATGAATTTAACACTGCCTAACCCCAATTTGCAGTGTTTATTTGGGGTTGCAGGAGCCTCACACTGATCCCGTTTTCTCTTTGGCTGTGCTTTACTCTGACGAAGCAGAGCACTGGGGCTGGCTATTGCTTGTCAGCTGAAGATCCTCTCTGCAAATCCCCTGTGTGTCAGTTGTCTTTTGTGCTTTAGTGTCTACTGTGACCACATGGACATTTGTTTGACAGGAGTCTGTGACCCTCAAACAGTTTGGTGAGTCATGGAAAGAGTGCACTCACCCGTATAGAGTTTAATCTATCCTCTGACAGATTCAATTTCTGCCTGGCAGGCTCTGCTCAGTTACGTGGTGTCTGACCTGGCTATTGAAACCCAGTAGCAGCAGAACCACTTACCAAAGAATCCTCTCTGGATGGAGGGTGGGCATTAATATTCATGAGCTGTTACTTATTTACACAGCTTAATATTAAAACTTCTGTATAACACCATTTGATCTCTCTGAGGGATAATTGTCTTTTGACAGAAATGCAGCTACAGTGAGCTTACTAAAAGCTGTTTGTTCTAAATAATACTGACTTCTTTGAGGGAACAATATATTTTAATGGACTTGGTTTTCTGTTTGTAAGCACTTGCCAGGATTAAGTAACAATACGTTTGTAAACTGATGATAGCAAGTAAAAGTGGTTTAGAGTCCTGACAGGGCTTTGAAAACTGTTATTTAAAGAGAATATTCCTTATAACTGTATTAAGGAAAAATAGTGGGGAAACTGGGTCCAAATCAATTTTCTTTAGTCACACTGTGAGTAAAGAGATAGATAAGGTTAATGAAACAATAATATCTTGCTGCAAGATTCTTTATTTCCAAACCTAAACATCTTCTGCTGAAATAGAAGTCTTGCTGGTTCTAAAGGTGATAACGGGCTCTAAGCATCCAATGAGGAAAGTATTTCTTATCTCTAAGTCCATTGCTATCTGCTCCAATAAAATGTGTGCTCCAGAAACACAGTATAATGTACCTTTTCTTGATCCTCCATCTCTTCTTTTGTTTTCTGTGGTCATACACTGAAGGAAAAAACCCATCAATAATGCACTATTAAGCTCTGAAACCTGTATTGACCCCATTACCTTCCAGTGGGTTGTGTCAGGGCTGTCACAAATTAATGAGAATAGGTATCACCATGGGCTACATCAATCAACCAAATAATAATAGTATTATTAAACCATTTACTAAAGAAGGGGTAGGCAAAATTCTTCTCTGAGTAAAGAATGGAAGGCTGGAATCCATCCTTGTTTGAAGGAGCAATGAATATAGGGAAGTTGACAAAATATAATTTTTTGAACAAGCAGCTGGTGTAAAATAAAAAGCAAATTTATAGTTGTTAAATGTCCATAGGCTCTAATGCTCTTGCAGGGGGGTCATTTGAACAAGAAATGCATCACGTGAACTGGGACCATCTTTTCAATTCTTAAGAACTCTAAATATGAAATAAAGAACTGTTAAACAGTTCTGATTATGTCCATCCCAATTTTTTTTTTAAATACTGTGGAAAATCCTCTCTAGCAATACAGGTGTATTTTAAAGATACAAAGAAACACAGAACTTTTTCTTAATTCCAAGTATGACATACTGTTTTCTCTGTCTCCAGTCGCATTTCAATTCTGTTTTGGCTTGAAACTTTTGATACCCTTTAAACTCCTCTTCACAGTACTTCAGGTATCTGACTTCTCTTTCAAAGTAATCAAGTACATTGGCATGCTGTAAACAGTGACAAGCAAGGGTCATTACATGCTCAGAGACAGAGATGTCTTGCTCATGATCTGAATGGTATAAATATTTTATCTAAATTGGAAATATAAATATCTCTATTTATCCCAGCAGTTTGCAGCAAAAGAATATAAAGATGTGACCAACTTCAGGCACAAAAAACCCATAAACTGCCATACTTTGGTACTGCACTATCCATTTATTTTATCTGGGATTCTGTGTTTTAGTTTTTATTAGTCTCTTCAACAGCCTGGTATTTTTCAGTGAATACTTCAGTTACAGTGAACGTAATCTAAATATTAGTGACTGTTCCTTGGTTGGTAATTCTGCACCCTAAAGAGTTTAGTTCCAAACCACAGGTAATCTGTCAGAACCAGTGTGTTTCCTCATATCGCTTAGCTCCTGCCTTGCTTTGGAGAAGTTATTTTTACTGAAATGAAGCTGCTGATGTGATGTTTTATTGCTACCTATTGCAGCTCTGTGCATGGCAAACCTTTATGGGATGTTTATAAACTATTTAAGTGCCTACATAAACATAAAACTGCAATAGCATGGGAAGATGGTTTTGTGAGTAACAGACAAGGCAGCAGGCAGGACTGCTAGACTGACACACTAGCTCAATCTTTGGCTGGGAGGTGGAGGAAAAGAAAAACTGAAAACTGTGTAGAAAAAAAGAGAAATTAAAACTGCTTGCATTGTTCCCATGGACTTTTGGTACACATAGTCCTAATTTTAAGACTGTGAATGAGTGGGAATGTTAGTAAGAGTTTTCAAAATGTGCTTTACTGAACTGGAACCAGATATGAAGATATGTAAATTGAATTACCAAATTTAAAGGAAAAAAATTAACACAAATGTGGATGAGAAGGTTTAAAGAAATATTAATTCAGTATATACACATTACTATGCACTCTGAAACATTGTTTTACTGCATGAAAGGTGTCATTTTATGGATGTGGCAAAAAATGCTGACCTCTTAATTGTGTTTTCATGTAGCCAGATTGGAACAGTGGAATTCTGCCAACTGTCACTGAGATTTCCTTTACTTGACTCTTATCTAAGCTCTGTAAAAAGCCAGCTTGGCTACAGGTGATCTTTGGAGAATATGTCTATACTGATCTCGAATGAACTGCCACTATTTGGAGGCATTTTTGTCTAGGCAGACTTGTTTCTGTGTTGGAGTTTCTGGATAAAGTGTCAAAGATTTAATAAAAATTCTTACTAACCTCATCACTTGAAGGGTGACATAGTATTTGACAGATTTCCAAAATATGCAGAACTCCAAGATTGTCAGAAACAGCCAGAAAATGCTGCTCTGCTAAAAGATATTTGACAAAAAAACCATATAAACAATCCAAATTCCAACAACAATGTGAACCTCCACCCAAAGACAAGCTACAGAGGGTTCCTTTTTTTTTTTTGTCTTTTTAGTTTATTGTTCACTGCAGCAAAAAAAAAGCAACCTTACTGCTCTGTTATTTTATTAATCCCTTTAAAGATTTTCTTTTATCAGACTTTTTTTAATGAAATATTTTCAGTTGCTTTTATGCCATGGTAGAAGACTTAGAACTGATGATCCATTTTTGTATGTATAGTGTTAAATTTGTGGAAGTATGTACTTATATAAGATCATTTGTAATAAGATTTGTGTGCCTCAGAGTCATGGGCCATTTTGTGAACAGGGCAGCACAATAAAGTGCAATCACCATCCACATACCTGAGGCACTGGAAGGGCTGATGAAAGTGATGATTGATTTGGAGATGTTCTGGAAATAAGATGGCTCATGAGTTTTCTTCAGTAAATCCCAAATATCTATATTTCCATTGTCTCTGCCAATGAAGAAAACTCCTGGTCTTGTTAAGGACCATTGTCCTGCCGTGTATCTTCCTGCAGAGCAGCTTGACTGAAGGATTGGTCCATTCTTAATTTTTTTTGAAAACAAATAAAAGATAGACCTAACAATCAAACAGTACTATCAATTCACTACTTCAAATCTCCTGTCTTTGGAAAATGCTCAAAATTTAAATGGTCCCATAACAAAAATTATATCAATGGCAAAATTCCTACCACCTGCTGCAGATTAAAAGGATTGTGGGGAAGTAAAAACCTGGTGTCTCACTTCCAGTCTCTTCAGGTAACCTGTCTGCTGTTAAAACCTGTGGTCTGGAAATTTTGTCAGGTGCAGCTAACCTGGAGTCCTGCATGAGACAAACTTGAAAAAAAACCCCCATGTTTCTTTGTCTTCACATGATGAAAGAACCTTGTCCTAAAATACAAGTTCTTCAGATTTGTTCAGCATGCATTTCCCTAGCAGGAGAAATGGATAGTTGGGAAGCTATGTTTTTTACAAAGTTGGAATTTAAGAAGGTCACTTTATTTCTTCTGTAAAAAGCAGGTTTCCTAAGCTTTATCTAAAATAGTTTTCTGATATGAAGAAGATGAAGCTTCTTTTATATCTGTTTTGTTTCTAGGATATGAAGCTTCATGACTTACACATTTCTGAAAATACAGTCTCTGAGCCTGTTATAGTCCTGTCTTGTATACCTATCACAAATGCCACAGCCGTCTTAAAGTAACTTACTGTAACTCCTTCTTTCCAAATGGCAAACTTCTGGCCTCCAATGCTTAGAAAGATGTCTTTAAAAAATGGAGATTTCTGGAGAGTGTTGATAGTTTCGGTGTGGAGGGCATATTTCTGGGAGTGCTTCTGACCTAATGGATGAAAAAGGTAGTTGCTTGTTACTAGTGCCTTAGGGATCAAGAAACAAGAGTGCAGGACCTACCACAGGCCTGGAAGATACCAGATTTTTTTGCTCACAAGGTACAGGAATTTGATTTGCCACAAATCTAGTTACTTCGTGATTTGTGCCAATATCTCTGTGCTATTTTGTCATGCCATCCAAAGTGCTTGCCCTTTTGAAGGTAGACTGTTAAATCCAGGTGTTATCAGTGAGAGAGGCTATTAGAGCGATGAGCAAGAGCCTTAAAAAGACAGAGTATAGACTCTGTATATAAAATAAACAAATATTTTAAAGTTACTGACTTATATTAAGACTTAAACATGTATTGAGAAACTTGAACTTACTAACTGGTTTTGTTGAATTAATATCAGTTTTCATTTTCCAGTCATAATAAACAATTTCTCCATCCTGTAATGCAAAAAAAATCAAGCAAATGCTAATGTTAGAGCTTAGTAGCTTATTTCAAAGTGACTTATTTTTAAGCTGGGACTGTTCTTAATTATAACTTGATGCAAAGATTATATTTTGCCTTTTCTTTTATATACCTTTTATATAGCTTTTATGGATCCTCAGTATTCTTAGCATGCATACTTGTAATTCCTCCAGTTTGATAGTTTAGCATAGCCCTAGTATTCTGTTTGGCCAGGAGACCAAACATCCTAAAGGCCTTGTAGTAGGAGGCTGGAAAACGCTGCGCTGTCTTGGGAAACCAAGTTCCTCTCTAGAACATATCCTGTAAGCCAGAGATTTGCCCAATCCAGGGGGGAATTCCTCAGATGGGGGACTATCACACCATCCATCCAGGCCTCCCATTAGGGCATCCTTGTTAGATATGCTCATTTGTAAGGTCTATAAATTGTATAGGCAATCTGTTGTGTGTGCATTGCGGCGCATCCCACCTTGGTGAAGTGGTGCACCATAAGGATCCTTATTAAAATACCCAGGAAAAAAACCCTTATCCCTTAACTGTGTCTGGTCCTCAATTTTTAAGGCCAGGGAAAGGCATCTCCATCATTAAATATAATCTGAGTAAATGAAAACCTGAATTTGCAGCCAATGACTGAAAACACAGTAAAGTTTTGCGTCACCATTTTTCAGTTATGTATTATCAAAACAGCTTTACTTGTCATGATGTATGTAGGCAGTCCTTCCTGCAGAATTAGGTGCTTGGTTTTGATAGTTCATGCTTTGTTCCAGTATTTGGGGAAAAGGTGACTGGAAGCAAAAAGGTTGCTAGAAGCCTAATTTTCATTTCCATATGAACTCAGAACTGGAAAGATCCATGAATTTTAGTAGCATAAGGTAGGTATGTAGCAGGCTATGAATAGCTGAGATTTCCTAAAGTGAAATTAAGTTGGGGGGCAAACTGTAGAATAAATGTTTTCACATGACATGTGAGAAAACACTAGAAGAAATTACTAATCTTATATGTTCTGGAATAAGGGAGTACTCTTTGGTTAATAATAGGTGGTTAAGCTCAACATATTTTGGAAATGTCTTCTAATTCCCCTCTTGAAGTAAGGGTTCATAGTCTCTCGAATATGGGAGGTTTATTATTTTTTAAGCATGTAGTTTAAAGTATTAAAGTGGAATTAAAAGGTGATATGTTCCTAGAGATCTTTTTAGTTACACCTGAAGAAAACATGCAAGTCCATACATTTGTGAAAACTCTGTTATTTAGCTGTTCAGTCTTTCTAATATCTTGGATTAACATTTTAATTGGTGCTTTAATTGGTACTTACTTCATTTCCAACAAAAAAGTCTGTGGATATATTCTGTAGCACTGCTAGATTTTTGCTTGAAGAAGCACTCATCTCTGTATATGGCTTCTGTTTAATGGGTGCTCTTAGTGATCTCAGAGATTTTGCCTTCCCTGGGAGACAAAAGTTACATCTTCTTGTTACACACTGGAATTTATTAGACCAAGCAAGTCCTTTGTCTTGTGAATGTAGTTTGTGGATAAGGAGAATTTGAAGAAGAGATTCGAAGAAAGACTGCCAAGTAAAGCAGTAGCTCTGTAGGTTTACTGTTTCCTGGTGGAGTCTCCCCATTGCTGCAGCCCTGAAGTCGGTGTTTCTTATATCCAGACAATACTTAGGGTAGCACCACCCTGTTCTTTTCCAGTTTTACACAACACCAGCGTCTCCTCGGGAGCTGCCCTTACATGTCACCCATAGCTGCTGCAACCAGGAGCTAATATCTCTGCTCCAGGGAATGGATTACGTTTCTAAAAATAGCTTTCTGTAATAGCTGAAAAGGACATATTGTTTCAGGGATAAAGAGATTGGGTGTGGGATTTGCATGGGCTTTTAAGTGAAACTGGATAGAGTCACTGTGTATATGGAATTGCTCAGTTTGGATTTTTACATGTACATCTCTTTATGGTCATTACATGTTGGTCACACACAGAGTACCACTATACTTAAGAATTCTTTTTCTCCAGGTGCGCTTAACTATACAGTATGTTGTTGCTCAGCTTTTATTATGTATATACTGAAATACAAGCTTATTAAAAACATTTTCCCCTGTAAGGTGTAATAAAAATATTACCTGGAGGTTTGTAATGATACTCCAGTTCCCTTAAACTCATTCTGATGGGACCATACTCTGTGTTGTTATCCCTTTCACGCAGATTTATCTGTTCAGAAAGAAGTGCATTTGCTAAACCATTTTGTCAGATCTTTGAGGTACAAGTCAAAATTTCTTTCTGCTGTAATGCTACAGATCTTTGCAGAGTTTGTAATACTCCACAAACAGTATCTGCTGCCTCACAAGCATGGAGAAAATGCTCTCTGTGTTACCTTTTTCCTGTAACAATTTTGCTTTCTTTCTAGCAAAATAACCCAGTAATCATGCTTGTTCAAAAACATTTCCAACTGCAGGTATTCTGAGCAGCACAGGTCAGCATGTCTAAAATTATTAACTTCTTTTTCTTACCTAACATTGCTTTCAGCCTCACTTTTTTCACAAACTGTTTTCATGAGACTGAATGTTGGTTTGCTAGTAATTATGATTCTGCTGACCATGACCATGTTCCACTATTTGGGATCCACTGAGATAGACAGCACAGCATCTGAAAAGGTTGACAGGAACTTACACTATTTACACAACTACTTTTGCACCTACTGCAGTTCTTTAGAAGCAGTCATGCTGTTTCTTATTAATTAGCTTTTCAAAATGCGTTTTATTGAAGTTTCAAAGGAATGTCGAAGTATTTAACTTCAGAATCAGGAAAAAAAATCACAAGGAAGTCACAATTTGCTGGAAAAAGAGTTGTGAAGCAAAAGTTTACGTTCCTATGGAGTTCTGGCCATGTCTACAGTTTGGCCAATCCCCATGTTCTGTATTTGTGGACACTACCTTTATGAGAGGTTTCCAGGAGAGATCTAAATCCTCATCAGAGTCTGGAACATCATGGGGTACGTGAGATCTTTTCTCCTCCTTTATTTTTTCAGATAAAAATTTTTCACGTTGTTCGATGGATGGAATATCCCAAAACAATATTGAGCTGCAAAATAATTGCATAACATATATTGTATAGTGTTTTAGTTTGCAGCTACATGCACTTTTCCTTACATTTTAAAGTTTGAGGTTTTTTTAATCTTTTATCTTCAAGCTTTATATAACAGTAGAGACTGAAAATCAGACAAAGGCTAACAAGGATAATAATTACTTCTTTTCTTCTTTTGTAAATGATGAAATCTATTTCTTTATTCACCCTTTCATCAGTTAATTATACCAAAGCAGCTAGATAGTATTCATACAGTTTGCTTATGGACAGTTATTGGGTCAACTTACTGGCACTGCCTGGGTGAAATTCCTGAAGGCTGTAGCAGGTAATTTAGTAACTCAAATTGAAAATCAGTCCAAATTTTTGTGTGCACCAATTAATTTGCTGACATTCAAGGCAAATGGTTTAGCTTGTATCTGTCATCTCATTGGAATCTTCAGCCCTCTGCTTGTTCCTTTTGTTCTACTCTGGACATTTACCCAAAGGTTTAATGCAGCAAATGAAACTTTCCTCATTGCTGATACCTCTTTCCCTTTTCTAACAGGAGTTGCTCAGGGACCTGTGCTCTTCAAGTATGACATTACAGTGACTTCCCTGTTCTTAACTTCAGATAAATACTTTCAATTTGGAACCCTCGTAGCTGAGTAGTTAAAATAATTTCTTCTACGTGTATTACTTGCATTACACTGCAAATGTATTAAGAACTGCATTTGCAATCTAACTTCTCATTTAATTTTTCAAAGTCTTCTGTTATTTGATTAGGAAAAATAACTTTGCACAATTATAAAGTTTTGCTCTCTCTGACCCTCTCTTTGATGTAACTAACAAATACATGACAGCACCCAGCCATGCAGCCTTGAAGCCTTAAGCCTTCTGACATCACGAAAGCTTAACATTTATTTCCACTTTTTGCATTCTGCCCCCTTGCTAGTCTTTCACACAGAATAGTAACTATCATGACTTTTTGGTCCACAAAAGAGGAGATTCACAAAGAGTAATTCTGCCAGCTAAATCTCCAAATTTATATAGAGTTTACAATATTTCTGTAGAAATAGGCCTTAGAATCAATCTTTTTAACATCTTTTTGAGCATGTCACCCAAACAAGTGTCACACAAATAAGTGTGGGGATGTGGCTTTCCAGGGTAACACATGTGTGATAAACACTCTTCTGAATGGGGTATCCACAGAATATAAACATATATCTGCAAGAGTTTTCAGTTAATAAACTCTTAATACCATTACTGTAGAGGGTTTAACTAGGCAAGAATGCAAAGTGCTTGTCTTCTGCATATGGAATTTCAGCCACTCAGGATATGTTGATAGGGTTCCAGAAATGTGCTAGTGAAATCATGGATTATGCCTCATAAAGTTTTTCAAAGGAAACTGGAAGATGTTTTGTAGAGTATATATTGTATATACCAATCAGGGGAGCAGGTTACAAGCTGCAGATTATTTTCATCTCTGTTTTCAGAAGCACCACCCTTTTGGCTGTCCTGAAAATAACAACAATAATTATTATGGGGAAGAAGATGATGAAAGACAAAAATCACACTCTGATGAGTAAGTACTTCAACACATAAAACAGGCTACTAGAAATTAAGTCACTGTTTCTGCTTGGGTAAGGTTTGAAAATGAGGACTTATTAATTTGCAGTTATAAAATCAAGCTATTTTACAAATGTGCTTCATGTGAACTGATACCACCTTTGCCTGCTACACACCTAAAATTCTAAATTAGAATTTTAATTCTAAATTAAATTAGAAAATTAGAATTTAAATTCTAAATTAGAATAATCCTGCTAATTTAGCAGGATAAATACTTACTGGTACCACTGCAAGTCAGGCCCTCTTTAATTTGCCATATTTGTAACTTTTTTTATGCAGCTTAACCAAAGAGCCAGTAATTGAGAAATTTATCTCCAACAGTTAAGTGTAGTGGGAGTGATGTCTCTTTGCCAAATTTACACCATGGGTCATCTATTTTAAATTATCACTTGGCTAGACCTCACTGTGGGATTGTAGTGGTGCCTTCAAATGTTAATTATTAATAGTTTAATTTGTGTATGTGGGCTTGTGCAGGTTTTATATTATTTATCATTTACCTAGTAGTTATTTGTTTATAACAAATTAATTTTAATTACTCAGGAAAATAAAGGTGTCAGAGGTAATAAGGAATTATAAGCTAATCAAATCTAACTTCCAGTATATAAAAAATGAACATATTTCGGCAAAAACTGTACTTATCAATTATGTGGCAAAATTTCAGCGTTTGTTTGTTTGTTTTTCTTTGTTGATGTTTTTTTGTTGTTGGGGGTTGGTTTGTCTGTTTTTTGTTTAAGCCAAATTAGGCCTACTCTATTTTTCATTCATTATTTTGTCTACCTGGAATCACAATGGTAGTAATGCAGCCAGGCAAAGCTGAATTACATTTTGGATGTAACATGGACTAATTTTTCATTATTATGTAATCATAAAACTGCTGATTTTAGGAATTGTGCCATAAAAACTGCTATGTCGTGCAAAGGCTGACATATTCCATGTTTATATAACAAAAGTATGTCCCAGTACATGTTGCTAAATACTGGCAAAATGTCTCCTTTGTCAGTGTTATTTATTAAGCAAGAGTCTTCTGTATCTGTTATCCCAGATGAACACAAAAACAGCCTTCTGAGCCTAAGCTTTGGCTAAAAAAACCCCACCCAAACAACAAAAGCCACAACAATGTTCTGCTATCCAATCCCTTTCTTCATGCTTTACATCTGGTACCAGTTAGTATCCATGACTATTACTCTATAAAATAAAAATGAACAGTGGTATCAGCTGACATTTTATGATATGTTTGTGCCCCTTTTCTCAATTTTCTGGAAATGCCACTAAGGACTGTAATGTCTCTGAAGTCTTAAATATTTTTATCAAAAATTTATTGATATATAATTTCCATAAACCTTTTAAAGATTTTCATTTTTCTTCTTCTTGGACAGTTTTTCCACTATCATTACTTTGTATTTGACTGCATTTGCATTTCAAATTAATTTAGCACCATTTACAATAGTTTGATAGTAAATCAGCACCCAGTGTTCCTGTTGGATCCTTTCAGTACATAGACCCTAAGTGCTTTGGAGCTCTAAAACCGTAATGGATAAAGTAAGTTTTGAGTACAGTTTTTGAGGCAGCATCTAGAAAAATTAAGGTGACTACAATAACACCATTCTTGGGTATCCAGATATTTAGGTAATTAAGTTATTTCTTGGAATTCTTAGTGACAGGCTAGATTGCTCATAGTAGAAATTCAATACATTTTAAGTATGGTAGGCTTACTATAATTTTGAATTATAATTTTCTGTAAAGTTAAGGAAATTTTTTGCAGTATGAACAGATTAATATCAGACTGAGAGCACAGCACAGTTGTAAAGCACAATGAACAGGACAAGAGGTAGCAGATTATTAGTATCTACTAAATGCAGTGAGAAATAATGAATACAAGTAATTAACTGGTATTTTCTCTTGAGTTTGCATTAGGATTTCTGAGGTAGTAGATTAGAAAAGCAGTAAAAAGAAGTGGATTTTTAAGCTCACCTCAAAGTTACATGGTAGCCAATGTACATCTGTTGCTGGCTTTGTATGACTATATGGTATGGAAGAGGCTGCACAGTGTCTCACTAGAGATGGCTTTGTGCTACTCTGCTGGACATGCCTAGGTGACAGCTAGAAATGTTTTAAGAAAAGATATCTAATTGTATTTTCAAAATAAAATAGTAAATCTATCAAAGAATAAAGGTTACTTTGCATTCTCTTACCACTTTTTCATGTATTTCAGATCAGTTCATAAAACTTTCTAGGGGTCTAACACCTTCCATTTGGGAAAAAAAAAGTAAAAAAAGCATCAAAACAAGCCTTTGGACATTAAGCTCTAAAAAGAATTCCACACGCCTCCACAGACATGCAGGCATCATTAATGTCTCCTCTCCTCTTAGGTCTTTCTTCTGCTTATCCTCTGTCCTTTTCACTGAAATAGTCTTCTCATCTTCCAAGCTGCCTTTTCGCTGTTCATGAACATCTCGAATACTTTCAGTATTGCACTCAGTAACAAACAGTATCTGTATTTGATAGGCTTTTTAAGGTAGGAGTGGAGGGTATATTGCTGCCCATTAAAGAACAGACTCACTGGAACATAACTTGCACAAAATGAGTAAATCTAATAATCTGTACGATTCAGGTAGATGATTGGTAGACAATCAGGTACCGTGATAATTGTGATGATGTTCTGATTTCATGAATTCATCAGGTTTCTTATCCTTTCTAGTGTTTCATTGCCAAGATTATCTACTCCTCTCTTCTGAGTCAAGATACCTTCACCCATTTCTCCCCCACAAACATACACATACACTGCAATATACTCACAACAGAAGCATTTACCATATTAACAGCTGTTATTTTTTCATAGAATTATAGAATGTTAAGGAGTTGGAGTGGACATTAAAGATCATCTAGTCCTGGTCCCCTAGCCATGAACAGGGACACCTCCCAATAGACCAGGTTGCTCTAGGCCTTATCCAACCTGGTTTTGAACACTGTCAGGGTTGGGGTGTGCATAGCCTCCCTGGGAAACCTGTGCTAGTGTCTCACCACCCTCACAAAGTAAACAATTTCTTCCTAATACCTAACCTACATTTTCCGTCTTTTAATTTTTACCCATTACTCATTGTCCTGTCCCTACAGTTGCAAACCAATAGTCCATCTCTGGCTTCCCTCTAGATTCCCTTCAGGTCCTGGAAGGTTGCTCTGAGGCCTTCATGAAACCTTCTCTTTCCCAGGCTGAACAGCCCCAACTTTCTCAGCCTGTCTTTGTAGAGGAGGTGCTGTAGTGCTCTTATCAACTTTGTGGCCCTTCTCTGGACTTGCTCCAACAGTTCAATGTCCTTCTTGTGTTGGGGGCACCAGAGCTGGAGGCAGTGCTCTGGGTGGGATCTAGCCAGGGCAGAGGGGAAGAATCCCCACCCTTGCCTTTCTGGCCACACTGCTTTGGATGCAGCCCAGGATTCAGCTGGTGTTCTGTGCTGCCACTGCTCACAGTGGGAAACCCCTGTACACCATTATCCAACCATCAGACCCAGAATTACCTCAGTCACCCTTGCTGCTGCTACTCTTGGCTCATCCTCTGAGGATTCAATAATTTCATCAGCAACAGGCTTTGCACTTTGCAGCTTTCCTTCATGTTTAGAAATATCCCACAGTACAACCTACATACAACATACAATGAGAAATAAGTACATTACAAATTGTACTTGTGTATGTGTATAAATGCACAGTGCATTAATACTCTCTACACTAGATTTTATGAAGTCTTTAAAGTATTTTCTCTTCAGTCTGATGCAATCAGAAGAAAGGTTACATTTCTCTCTAAAAAAAAAGTCTTTACAACTTGACCTATTTATCAGTAGTACAAAGAAGCATCGTGCGGTAATGGCTCAGCTATGGACTAACCAGACATAGCTTCAGTCCAGGAAAAGAGAACTTTAAGACTATGACATCTGTCTTCTGTCTCTATGTGTTACTATGGATGTTGAGTATATCTCTTCACCCTTATTTTTATACTGGAAAAAAATACAGAAATATGCAATTTTAAAGAGCAACAAACCTGTCCGTCGACACAGCCACCAGCAATGATGTTTGGATTACTTGGACTGAACTGAAAGCAGTAAATGTCTTCAGGAGCCTTCAACACCAACTAGAGAGAAGAAAAACAAGATAGTTGAGAAATACAGTCACACCATTTGTTTGTTCTCATGTTATTTAAATACTTGGCATATTTAAAAGTCTTGATTAAATACCTGGAGGCAGATAGGGTCAAAAAAACTCAAGATAAGTATAGCTGACTGGTGTGGCAATGATTTATTAGAGAGGTTAACTTGCTCTTCATATGAAGGCTGCTCTCTTGCTGACAGTGCTATAATCCCTAATCAAAAGAGAAAATAAATTTTCTCAAAAGAGACAATTCAAGTTTCAACACATTGATAATTATTCTAAATGACTTATACCTTCTCAATACAGTGAGAAAAACTCACAAAGCAGGAAAGAAAGCCTAAATAAACAACCATGTTTCTTTCTTTTCAGATCAGCTTTGAGGACACCACTTTTGTTACTTACTTAACATTAAGTTTTTTTAAAATGAGTTATAGAGCCGATGCATCGGGATAAAACTCCTCTTTTTTTTTTGCTCGTGCTCCTCAGTGGTGCAATACTGCACCTGAAATGATGTGACAGTCATATAGTCCTGGCCACCCATCATGAAAACAACTCTTTGTAACCCAATTCATTTTCTTGCCCAGGCTGCAGTATTGGCTAGTACTATGCTGGGAGCAGGGGCATTTATATAGAACTTAATTGTGCCATTAGTTCTGGCCATGCAGATCAATAACCCACAGCAGGGAGCAGGAGCTGACGATTTGTATGTCCTGTGATGTTCCCTGGCACTCGGCAGAGCCATGTCCTGTTGTGGCTGTGGCATTCCAGTACTAGGTACCGGGAGAGCCAGGCACAGGCACAAGCACAATGGTATGTAGGGCCATCTGAAGAGTCTGGCACAACAACCCTGCTTCAATGAGCCTCATGGAGGGAAATTTCTCTTGCCCATGATCTCCACTTATACAATAGGGTAAAGGACTTTGCATGGCCCATATAAATTCTACAAAGATTTTGTCTCATTTTTCATTTTGCCTCAAATTGGCAATTCAAACAGGGATACTAAATCAGTTTTGATTTCTTTTTAAATTTGAAAGCTGATGATTTTATGAAAGATGCATATTTTATAGCTGTCATATAATACCCATCATTAAAGACTCAAATCAGTACTGTAAGTGCATTACCATAAATGGTTGGATGCCAGCGAATGCAGCTAATGGTTCTATTCTTGAGATACTGCACATCTGTAAATGATTGGTATGCTTTAAGATAAACATCTGGCTGGCCTTCTTCTTGGTCTTCTGCTAGGGCCTTCCAGTCATCAAAAAAAACATTCATAATTTCATTTTGCTGCAATGCAATTTCCACTCTGTTTTGGGAAAAGAACAGTTAACACTTTAATAATCCAGATGTGACTACTCAGTAGTAGAATTACAAATATTTCTGTAAAGAGGTAGCTCTTTTTTTCACAAAATTATGATCACATTATTTAAAAAATCAAGTATTAAGTTCTCAGTGAAGTATCACTGCAAGGAAACATGCTTCTGTTTAAACAGAAGTAACTACTGTACCAAGAATTTAACTCAGGTTCTTTGTGGACCAAGTACAGAGCAATTGTCCAATTATTTGTGCAAAAAATGTCATTAAGTAGGACTTGTCCCACTTAATGGGACATGGATAAGGGCACAATCATAGGTAGAACAGCATCTTTGCTTACTGCACAACCATCTGCTTGAATGTTCAGTGTTTAAAAGATCAGCTTTGCAGTTTGTTTGAAAAATGTATCACTATCAACTTCAGCAGTTCTGATACCTATACAAAACAACATTATATATCTATAGTATAATAAAAAATAAATATAACATGTCTATATAGCATAGACTTCAAAGAAACAAGTATAAAGTTATTATTTGTTAATATTAGAATAATAAAAAATTAAAAATGTTTATGGAAACAAAAAATAAAATTTATATTTGACCAGACCAATGATCCATTCAGACAAGAGTACTTGCTTGTATTTTGTATTATTTCCAGTAGTCTTTAAATGTATTGCTTCAATAATTTTACCTTATATGTACTGCTGTAAGAAATTGTTTCAGCTTCTCAGATGACAGACTCTCTGCTTTTGCTTCATTTGACAACTGCCTAGTACAATACTGCGTGGATGCATTTTTTGGATAGGTCCTACACAATTGGAATAAATTTGAATGTAAATATAGAAAACATTTCAAAGACAGAAACCTGTGTAATGTGTAAAATTTAAATATATAGTTTTTCTATAAACTTTTTAGAAAATATTTAAGAAAAAAGATGCAAAACAGAGCATCCAATTTTGTTCTATTAATCAGTTTGTAACTGAGTAACTCCAGAATTTTAGTTGATATAAGAAACAGTGCATAGCTTAATAAATAAGCTGATAAATGTTTTCTCATACTTACCATTTTGTCTGAGTACTAGCTTCTCTTAGTTTTGGAACCATCTGCACCCCCACATCCCTTTCAAGCATTTTAATACTGAAAGTATCGTCTTCATAGGCTGTGCATTCAGCATACATCTCTTTGTCGTCTGAAGCATTCTTGTCAGTAAACGTAATCGGTGCACCAAACATCCTGCGAACTCGAGAGACCTTGTACTTAATCTGGAAAAGATACATTTCCATGGCTAGCAGAAAAGAAAGTTTTTGGGAAACTCATTCTTTAAAATGACTGGATTCATATAATTGTGGAATTGTGGGATTTCAGTGTTGAGCTGACTCATATTTCTCCATTTTGAAATTCTGAAGTGCTCTTATAAATAAACTACATATATAATAGAAAACAAGTTTGTAATTATTGTAGCAGTTCTGGATTACTGCTAGTATGTCAAGAGAATTACATTTTCTAATTCATCCAATATCAAAACTGCACATTTAATTAAAGCATTGATTTGCAGGAAGCCTTATGTGATACTGAATTAGGCTTCCAAGACCCAACTTTTCAGCTCTTCCCTCTTGGTGGAATTCTCAGCATTGGGTGAGGTATTTCAACTTCCCTTGCAGTGCCTAGGGTGAGAAAAGTACTCTGAAGAAGATGCAAAAATGTTTGGAGGGTTTTCTTTATGCTGAGAACTAGGAAGGATGAAGAGACATGTCTTGACTTCTGCCCACAAAGAGTGGCACTTGATTTCAGGCAGTAGAGAGGTACTGCTTTGTCTTGGATTCATATCCAGGTACTTTTTCCCAGCACCTCACACAGAACTGGAAAGGAAAGTAGGCTAAAAATACTTTTGAGTAGACCTTGCCAACAGTGCAGAATACATTCACAGTCCAAGTATTCTGTATTAAACTGAATGACTATGAAATAGCTTTAGAACAATCAGACACCTTTTTAGGTGTAAGCAAGATGTCCAGTTGCTGAGAACTATCAGAGAACTATGAGAACTGGCTAACTAACTTGGCCAATCTTCCCTGAAAAGAGCTACTAAATAAAAATTACTCCTGGACAGTTAGATGCTTGGAGATGCCCCACATATCACAAGTTAGGTAATAGCTTTGAGTGGACCTACTTTTTGGACATATAATTATTTTTTTTTCTCTCTCTGTATATATATATGTAATCTGTAGATGTAATTAATCAAATGTATATGTAATTAATCAAATATGTCCTCCTATAAAATCAGCTTGTAATAGCTGTAGCTGCTTAAAAAGTGTTGCATGCTACTTAAATGCCATCCCTTTACTGGAACAGTTCATTGAGCTTCATGGAAACAGAGCAATGACTCTGTTATCCAACCATTTGGTAAATTGAGCAAAAAGTGGCAGAGGTGCCAGTGACCAGAGATGATCAGGACTTTTGAACTTACACCTTAAAAAGTAGTTATGTCCAATGCAGTGATACATGCCTTATCTACAAGACTTAAAGAGAACAGAGTTCAAAACAAAAGTTTCTGCAGCACTTTCAGCTTTTGTTAAAAGTTTAGTTATTTCTCTATTTCTCTCTGATAGTTTTCTTAAAATATAGGGGGTTTACTTTTATTTGATTGACTAACATCTGTCGATTCTGACCTTTGTATCCCTTTCTTTAACAGATTCTTCTTCAACTTCCTTTTCGCTGCCAAGGGAAACCCAAGGTTTGTGGACTTCCAGAGTTTCTTCTTTATTCTCTCCTTCTGTTTCTTCTGTTTCTTCCTCAGTTACTAAAGACTGTGATATCAAACAGTAAGAAATGGTACTTTTTCCAAAATCTGTTACTGAAATGTAAGTATTAACTAGAAACCCAGTCTTCTGTTTTCACTCACACACTCTTTACTTTCATCTCAGTGCAGTGAGTCTGGGTATACTGTGCCTCTGGGTAGGGCTGGCTAAGGTCCTGTTCATTTGTGCATTAGAATTTTCCAATAATATTTAATATTTAACTACTAAAAGAGACTATTGTCTTGAAAGCAAATAATTTTATATAAAAATAAATTATAGTGATTTTTGTCCATTAGGCCCTCTGGCCTGGAACTGCATTTTACTTTTCTTAATTTTTGCTTCTCCTGATTCCCTGATGCTGGATGGCAAATTTATATTGAAAAATTATATATTTTTTCTATAAACATTCTCTTACAGTGCAGCATACAAGTTCTATTCATCTAGAGCTATTTAGAACTCAAGAAATTTTCATGATTTGAAGAATATATTCATGGATACTACGAAAAATAAGTATAGTACTTATTTGAAAACGCTCAGTATATTTATTGTCTGTTATTTTTATTTCTGAGAAGTCAGGGTATTGAGAAAATGAATGCTTATGATAAAAATGCAGCAGTGGGGGTTATACTATCTCTCTGAAGTAAAATACAAAAATTTAATTTAGCCCTTCTCAGTAAAAAAATATATTTTTACAGTGATACACATATTTTTCTATGATCAAGTTAACCATGAGAGAAATATTGTGTGCTTAACAATACCATTCATAACATCTTTGTTTGAGACTAGATTCTGAAATATTCAGAGATAGAAAAATATTTTGGCATACGTGGATTTTACCTTAAGAAAGTTTTCCTTGGCTTCTTCAGAAGCAACCATATAAAAATTCTGTCCATACTGGAAGTCTGGATCAAAAACTACCAAGAGTTCTTCCCCTGGATATTCCTATTTTAATGAAAAAAAATAATGGAAAACTGAAAACAAATAATATTCCAAAGAAACATGAGGTTGTGATTGGAAAAGCTACTACCAATTTAGTATCTCAGGTTAATTTTGTATTCTTAATGGAGAATTTCATGTGCTAATTGAAAGGAATAGATAGGGCTTATTTTGTAATAAAAGTGAGTCTGGGACAAAACTAATCTTTCATATGGACAATTAAACTGAAAAGAAACTGTTTTGATGATTCTCAGTAAATAGGCCATGAATTAGGGGAAGCCAAATATATGAAGCTCTGTCATTTCACAGAATCAAAACTAATAGTATTTATGTTACTTTTAGCATATTTTCAATCTGAAGTTAGTAAAAAAAAAAATGCACGGCAAGCCATGAGAAACTTTGAGTCAACAATGGTCCACAACCTCTAGCACTCAGGTATTAGAGCATCAGTATGTTTACACAGAGTCAAACAAGAACAGACCCTTCTTATTCAAAAGAATTGACACTCTGAGAGCATAAGTCTTAAAGTGAGAATGAAATATGCTACATACTAGGATAACTTTTTTGAGACGGTGGAAATCAGAAGCTTTAGCTCTTGTTTTCACGTCTTGAATTATGTCCTCTTTTCTAATACACTTGAAACAATCTTTTTCTGTGACATCTTCATCAGGTCGGCAATTAAAAATTTCTTGGGTCTTTGCAGTCAAAAGCAAGGGAAAGATTTCTGGGTGGCCTATGAAAAAAAGCAAAATTGCATGATAACTTCAGAGTGTCATTTAAACATGCATATATACTTTGATATCTCCATGCTTTTACTGTTTCTATCATAATGCCTTTGAACCTCTCAGCTTTGTTTTTGGTATTTTTCAAAGCATGAAATACAAATGATATTTACTTTATTAATCTTTGAAAATACTCTACCCAACATTTTGCACATAATGAATATGATTTCCCTGGTATGAGGGGCTTTTTTCCTTCTTGATCAACAGGTTATCTACAACTTTAGTGAGAAGCCTTTAATGGGTTGGCTTTAATATTTTATGGGCAAAATCACACACTTCTGACTTACGAAAGCTTTTAATAAGTACCCTGTGGTCCTTCCTTAGGGCAGCACCATATTAAGCCAAAGTTTAATGTAGGTGAGGCTTCTCCCAAGTAAGGATGCTTTTCTGATTTCAGACTTTCATCTTGCTCCCATTGAGTTCAGTGTGCAGTAGACACTACTTCTCACTAATCAAATGAGACTAAAGCAAGCTCACTGAGATTAAAGACTGAGATTTCTTTTCAGCTTTATTGGAGCTGTTGTTTTCTACACACATGATGTCTGGTAGGTTCATTCATATCAACTCAGAACAAGATATTTCTTATCCTTGTGCTAGCACAGATATCTTCATTGGTTTTGGGGAGGTTGGATGCAGTTAGGTGACCTGTTGACTGTGCTTTGCAAACATTCAATCTGAGGACAATATATAGTGCTTCTTATTGTGTGTGCCAGCTGTATGTGAGTAAGGCTGAATGTATGTAATGCCGGTCTTTCTCATGTTCCATGTTCCGTCTCCAGCTTGCATTACAGCTCTAAGTGGCTAAGATCACTCTAGGCCCAGCTAGTTGAATCCTGCCCCTGACATTCCTCCTTTGCTATACTGGCCTGCTAGCAGACTCATGCTCTGTCTCAGCTGCCCTAGTAAGAGCATTCCTCATGAAGTCCACTACATGTTTGCCTGAGAAAGATAGCAGATACTCATCTTTTTAGTGAACTGGAAACTAAAAGACTTAGGGACATGTATACTGTGTACTGGTTTTCTGTACTGAAATGTGCTGGGTGTTGTGATAATAGCTGATACTTTCTATTTTTGTTTCAGTCTCTTTACTTAGTTTAAAATAGTATTTTATCTTAATTCCCAGCACCTGTGGGTTTTTTTCTCTTTGTGCATGCCTTGAAGATAAGTTGACATACCTCAAATGATGATTGTGACTAGCTGTGTCAGCACATTTTGAGAAATCATCTCTAATCTAAACCAACAAGGACTAACAAAATTATAAATCCTCCTTAATCTCTGCACAATCCTATTGCATAATTCATTATGCTTGATGAATCTGACACTTATCCTTTAAAATCTTTCAGAGCTGCTACTCCACTGCATCTGTTCTGCCATAGTCATCACTAAAATTAATGGCAAGCCTGATGTTTCTGGTGCATGCTACACTGTTCCAAGTATGGATTACTTAGTGTCCACTCGTTCTTTCATAGCACATACAATCTGTTTGTAGCATGCACAGGCCATTAGTTCACTTTCATCACAAGCTGTAATCAATATTGCATGATTTTCCTTTTTGATATCTTGGAAAGTTCCAGGATTTCTGAATGGATGCTTCCAAAAAATACAAAATCATAGGGGTGTGGATTGGGAAAAACCTCCAAGTCATCTGGTCTAAACTCACTATTGCTAACATCAGACCTCAAAAATCCCAGCCAGGGTTGATGGTTGTTTTTAGACATTATTATCTGTAAAAATAAGCTTTTATGTTACTGTTTTTAAAATGCTGAATCATGTATAAAGCCTTGTGCACAAATGCTAATGCTGAAAAAATCCTTTTAAAGAGATGTAGGTTTCACTGCCAAATGAAACAAGCATGAAATTTAAGCAAAAATACAATGGACATCACTACAAGAGGAAACAGAGTAAGACAGATACTCTAAATGCATTTTTTCCAACGCTCTCTTGTTATAAGCCCAAGTTAAAAACAAAGTAATGATCAGAATTAAAATTACACCTTTCAGTCTAAAGAACTAAAATTCTATATTGCAGAATATTATTTTTAACAGAATCTATAGTATAAGGAGCTGATACTGGAGTTCTTACATTATAAACATTTTTATTGAATGCTATTTTCCAGTAAAAAGTGTGTAACATCTGATAATAGGCTTTACATTGCTCTTCTGTTAGTAAATTGTACCTGTATCATTTGTAGCAGCCAGCAGCTCTTAGTGCTACGAGAACTTCACAGAATACCAAGAAACTCTAAGGAAGAAGTAAAGAACACTTGCAGGCCTAAGGAATGAGTGCATGGAGTTTAAATCTTGCACAGGCAGTGTCTGTGTTAGGAAAGTGTTATTTTCCTACTTTAAGCAACTGGTTCCTAGCAGTAGTTCAGCTGTTAGAGCTCTAACCTTATTTGCCAGTAGGTGGAGATACAATTCTCTCTTACTATCTGTCTGCTGGAACATTGAAAATACATTTTTTAAAGTACCACTTTAATCATCTGTGGGATCACTTCTTGTGCATTTTCATTAACTGCAGCTTAGCCATTTTGGTGATGCTAACCAGAGAACAATTTTCACCCAGTGCTCAGAGGATTATGGAGGAAAACAAGTGATTTACATTTTCTTATAAAATTACATAGTTTTTGTATTCCTTGTTTGCCACACTGTTTTAACTTTAAACAATAAAAGCTGTATTGTTAAAAGCCAATTAATAAGAACCCTTTGGGTCGTTCCTGTAAACCATAGATAAATTTTATTTTGATATCAATTTAAGTTATATCTGAGAAATAATTACACAAATTGGGTCAGAAGGAAACACAACCACAAATATGGAAAATAAAAAAACATTGGAAATAATTGGGTGTCTAAGAAAAAAAGAATATATTTAAATTCAGATAATTGCATACTTTTAGCCCTTAACTATGGCCATGCTTAAAACTGAACTTGCACATAAGCGAGATTGTAACTTTTAAATGGTTAATTTTTCCCCTACAAAAATATATTATAAACATATTATAAATATATAATAAAAATATGCTAATCAATATCTGTTGGTATTCATGGTTAAAAAACACAAGTGATGTGCTAAAATAATTTTCTCATAAAATTTAATAATGGTTTGACAAAGAGCAAATATTAATGAATTATTTTTTAAAAATCATGTTTTACTTTTAATTGCTGAACTATTTCTAAATACAAAGAACCCTATAATTCTGTTATGATGATTTTTATTTCCCCTTATACCAAATCCTCTCAAACCAAGAAAAAAACCTCTTCTACAAACCCATACTTGTTTCCTGCTGCACTGCCTCCTACTCAGAGCCACTGTAATCACTGTGATAGCTGCATTTCTAAATGGTTTATATTTTTTCATTAAAAAATCATTAAATATATTCTCTATTTTTCATAAAAATAATATTTTTATTCATAAAAAATATTTTCTTTTTATTCCCTGCATTAATAACACTGAAGCTTCAAAATGCTTTGACTATTTCAGAACTACTACCTTAAAACTCAGTTATCATAGTACTTACCTATACTGGCCATAGAAAGATCAACTTCCTTCTTTTTACCTGAAATATAATGACATGATGTTATCAGTAGTGTTGGTTACATAACTATAATGAGTAATTTTACCTCTCTAAGTTATTTATATAAAATAGCATATTCTAATTGATCTCATGTTTTTTTAATGCATGAGGCCAAAATAATTAAGGTAGATCTCATGTAAGCCCAGATTGCTGTTTGTTTCATTGTTGCTGTACCTTACATACAAAGCTGTGCTCCTTTTCCTGTTCATGATTCCTTAGCTTTGTTTTACCTTTTTGTTTCTTTGTCGATGTTTTTGAACCTTTCATGGTGGTCTTGCTGGATTTGGGACTTTCTGATATTTTTTCCCGATTTCTCTAGAGAAAGATACATATCATCAATAATTTTATATAGACAACAGAATGCACCATGTATGAGTGAAAATTTGGTACATGACTTTATGTAGCTTATCATTACAGTAATATTTTCATATGCAGCTAAAGGTATGTTTCATAGTTTTAAATCATAAGCTGTGTTTTCATATCACATGAAAAACTTATTTTGTACAGGGTGTTTGAAAATGAGCACTGACTTTCCACAATAGTGACAGGTTAAATTAGGATAGAGGTTTCCCTTCATGAAAGTTAAGGACCTGAGATAAAGTGGGAAGAGCATGGGTGAAAATTCACTAGTTATAAATGTTTGTCCCAATGTCTGTAAGTGTAAATCACTACTCAGCTGCACAAAGCTTTTCTATTTCCAGGGTTTTTTTCAGTGTAGCTCTGTGGAGGACAAACTCAGGAAGATGTATGCCTTGTTAAATGTAGCAACCACACAACAGGAGATATTGTATAGAAGACTACTCCTGTTTCATTTGCTCTCCTTCATCCTAATATCTGGAGAAAGGATTAGAACAGTAGTGCAGGAAAGTCTTGGTTCCATGGCAAGGAGAAATCCTGTTCAGCCTGCCCGCTGCTCAGGCTGGACAGCACCATCATGTGGGAGGAGCTCACATAGCAGCCGATGGAAGAACTAAATCAGGATGGCCCAAATTCTCTTACAAGTGTTAAAATAGTTTGATGATAGTATTGAAGAGGCAGAGGCATTCAGATGGGATGAGGACTATGGGGTTCTCACTTTGTTTGTGTCCTCCCTCTTCCATGATCACACTTTTTAAGGCTGTAAACTGCCTGGGAGTTTTTTTAAGTGTCTACAGAGCACCCTACAGTATTTGGGTGCTATTACAATTTTACTGCTAACAAGAGGAAAGTAGATGAAGATAGGACAAAAAGAGATAGCACCTTTAAGAATGCTGGCATGACATAACTATTTCTGATGATCTGTTACAGGAGCTATAGCCTGTCTGCCTGTGCATGTGAAGAGCACTTCTGCTGTCAAGATGCATAAGGTGAAAAGATGAGTTTATAAAATAAATGTTCCGTCCTGAGGGTTTGCTTATGAACAGCCTAAAAATAGTGAGTGCTAAAACAAACATGCTGTGGCCTGTGTATTTGCAATTTCAGTGGCACACCCAGACTGAGAAACAGTGTCTTACTGTTTTGTAACACAGTTCTCAAATACTCTAGAAGCAAGCAATATAATCTTAGCTTCTGATCTAAATTTTAGTAGGAAGATGACCACTGATGGCAAGATACAGGTCATGGATTATAGCCAGATGGAATAGCTGAGGTTTGGGGTACATGTTGGCCTCCCATGAGCTCAAGGTAAATTTCAGTTGGCTTTAATGTGATCAGAGTCTGACATTCTTATTACAGTTATGCATTTTAATTTTTCACTCCAATCGAAGTAGTAAAGTATACTCTATAAATCCTCAGACTCTTTTCTGTATCATACTGCATCTTGCAGGTCACAGGTGGTAGGCTGCATCCATGACACATTAGTGTATTTCTCTCTTGTTTTGTCTCTCTTGATTATGGCAAATGCAGTCCCCTCCATTAATCTGTCTGTGAATTTTATTGAATCTTCTGCTTCTTCCAAATACCAATGCAAAGAAAATTAATGTTTCAGAATTCTGAAACTTCTGCTGTGCATGGGATGATGTTTTTATTCCATTCCCCAAATAATATATAATGAATCTAACGAGAAAGTTGGGAGTTTTTTCTGCCCTCATTCTCACAGTATTTTTGTCAAATACAGGAGTAGAAACACTGTTAACATAGTTCTGTGTAACAGTCAATATATTTATATATAAATATAAATAATAATTATAATAATAATATAATAATAATATTTCTTATCTATTTTCATATATATGTATAATCTTTGAAAGGAGACTGTGCAATATGCTTAGCTTACAGTTCTGAAACACTTAGGCCTACCTCACTGAGAGTGCATATCAATTCAGATGGCCAAGAGATTGATTTTTCCTTATTTAAAAAGGAAAGCTGTGCAAAGCTGTTTCTTATCTATCTTCTTGTGTATATTACATATAAAAATTGTAACCCGTGTTGTAAATTGGTTGACTATTCTAATTTGAAACCAACCTTTATGCCTCTGTATAAGAGAGACAGCCCTCCAGGAGAGGAGGTGAGAGCAGCTGTTGTAGTAATTAGTTAGTAATTAGAAGGACAGTATGAACCATCTCAGATATATTCCAGTCACAATGTCTTACTTCACCATTTCATAATTATGCACTGCAACAAAACTAGTTTGGAAATTTTGAGTGAGTTCCTCTGAATATCCTAAACTCTAAGTCACATGAATGGAGGATAAATTGAGAAGGCTGACATAAGTCACATCCTATGTTTAGTAAAATAACTCACAAATAAACACAAGTATATTTTACCTATAAAAACAGTTAAAACTCTTGGAAATGGTGTCCCAGTAATCAGTTCCTCCTCCTTCACTGAAAGGATGAGGTATGGAGGTAGATGCAGCACTATAGAGAGAAGGGCTGTGCTGGTGAAGCTGGTGTCAGTGCCTGGTGCATTTGTTAATACAAAAAGTGCCCTTGTTCAAGGGCTGCAGATGGATAGAGCAGTCAGTGGGACTGTTCCCACTTCCCTCTGGGATGCACAGGACCTCCCAGCTGGAAAGCAGATAGAAAAATACAAACTATTTATCTCCTTTTCAATATGCCCAATACCCTTTCATGCCTGCCCTCTGTCATCCTGTGGCCATATGATTGTCAGTGGTCAGGAAACAGGGAAGGCCTGCAGAGAAAGCGAAGACAGAGCCTCCAGAGCTTCTCTGGAAGCATAACCAGGCCCAAGCTTCTAAGAAAAGTTGGTTTTTACACAGGAATATGGTAACCTCCAGGTTCTCACTTCAGGAAACACTGTGAACTTTCAAATGTGTATTGAAGAGCAGCCTTTTGTACATCACCTCTTCCAAACAAGCATAAAAGAACAAAAGTCACAATATGTAAGTTAAAGATGCTATTTTCAGCACTTTCTTCTTAGTTTGGGGGTTTGCTTTTTTCCCCCCTATGTTTTTATGCAAAATACTAAATGCTATGAAGAAAGACATGAAAAAAACAGTCCATATTAGTGAACTGTCTGAAAATGTGACCAAAATAATTAAATTTTAAATCTATGGTTAGGTCCTATTCACTTAGGAATACTTCTATACTGCTTACTTAAAAAGGACTTGTCAGGGCACACACAAATGTATTATGCCTTTCCATTATGTTCATAAAAAAATCATGATTCTGTGATTGAAAAGAGGTTGGAAACAACATTTAAATTAACATAATTTGAAAATTTTAAGAGTGGAAAATCTACATAAAATTGCAGCCTTTGAAAATCAGTTGTCATGAATACTGCCATGTATTTTATTTTTAAAAAGTAAGTAATATTTAGATTTCATTAATTATGTTCATCCTAATTTTTCAGCAGTTTTCCACTTGAACACAGTGTTACATTATGTAATTGCTAAAATCTGGGTAAATATTTGACAACTCTGTTTGATATTTTATAGCCAAGTTTGTTTACAGACGTCTCTAATATTTTGAACATTAGGCTTAAGAGAAAAAATAAGATCAGAGTGTTCTCCTAATTATTTAATGTACTGAAACATTTACAGCTATAAACAAATCCGTGAAGTTGCTAGGTGCTGCAAAAGGCAAAAACTAATTAGCTATCAATTCTACCAAAAAACCTGTCTGATTTGAGGACACAGAATGATTCATTAGTTGCCTAATTGAACGATTTAAGGTCAAGTTTGTGTGCATTATTATTTTAGGGCAGTAATTTATTATAATTTGGAATGACAGAAGAATTAGATGCATGCCCATTTTACAAAAGCACTACAAGGAAAGGATCAAAACCATGTGCTAATTGCTTTTTTGTTCTATCTCTAGAAAGCTAAAAAACACATTTCCATTGGTAAACATTTAGGAACTTGCTAAAAATACCATCTTGAAAATTACTTTGTCTCTCCAAAAATTAATGTACAATGTTGCCTTTAATTAAATTTATTCTATTTTGCTCCATGCAAAGAGCAAGTAATACAAAATTATTAAAAATTATTAATAATCCTAGTGCATATTTGGACACAATTTCATTGTTAAAGTTGTAGGGAGTAAAGCTGAAGTTTTGGCAACTGCCAAATCAATTTGAATGGTTTCACACTTATAACTTTTCATCATATCAGGCTTACTTGAACCTGGTGTTGATTTTGTTATTTGATGGAAACCAGTAGGTGTAGTTACAGTATCTGGGATGGTAAGTGCAATGGGTGTAAAATTAGGTTAAGAATTAATAAGAAGGCCATAGGAGAACAAAATGGAAAACTTCATTCTAATGTTGGTTAATATTGTATTCTGATTCTCTTTTCTTTCTTTCTTTTACTTAAAAAGAAATTGATAAAAACTGGAAAAGGTATAACAAGGATGATTGAAGACATAGAACATATTTTGTACTGAGAATAAACTAGGATTATTTTTAGCCTGAAAATTATCTAAATTGGTGAAATCACAAGAGACGCAGAGAAAGTGACCAGGAGATGCTGATTCACGGTCCTAACACGAGACTGAGCTGGCATCACATGAGCTTACGGATGTGGAACAAACAACTGGGAACAAACAACAGGACTGCAGAAGTGTTTCATTGCACAATAAATGCATGAATTATGGAATATACTGCCTGTAAACAGGACAGCTGCCAGAAGCACACAATTTTAGAACGTAACAGGGCAAACTGACAGATGAAAAACTGAGGGTAACTAAACATAATGATAATGCATTTAGCTATAGAAATTAATCCACAAATCCAAAAATTAAAAAAAAAAAGGCAAGTGCAAAGAGTGGAAATATGGCTTTAGTGTTATCTTGCCCAGACAGAACTTCTGGTATGAGCAGATACAACTGGTCTAAACTATTTAAATAGTGTAACAATTTGGGTGGTACTTAAAAAGTTACTAAGTATGATACGGAAGTTGTCATAACACGGTCCTGTCAGGAACAGTAACATATGTTGCATTGTCACGACTTTTGAAACATAAATTCTATACTGTAAAAATTGACTTAGATTAGACTTCTTTAAGCAGAGGTAAGAAAAACAACCATCTCTGTGGAGTCTGGGGATGGGTGTGTGTGTCTGCGGGGGTTTGCCGGGCTGCGGCGGGGCTGGGCAGTGTTCGCAGGCCCGCTCCAGCCTCCGGCACAGCCCCTCACGGCACGGAGGAAGGCGCTGCCTCGGGCCCGCGGGCAATGGGGCGGGAAGAGGCGGCGGAGGCGGCTCGGCCGCAGGGGCAGCCCTGTTGCCGGCTGCTGGCCGTGTGGTCTCGGGTCGGGAATCTTTCACCGCTTCCACAGCGCTGCCGGGTCACCTTCGTGTCCTTTGTCCCTACCTGTGCGGCCGCGGCCCTGCGCGTCCCCGGCGGCGCGAGGTTGTCATGGCGATGGGGCTAGCCGTGATTGACGGCTCGGTCAGGCAATCATCGCCCTGCTCTGCAAACCCGCCCCCGCGGCGGCTGCTTGCAGGGCCGCCCCAGACAAGAACTACTCGTCCCAGCATGCCGTGCGCGGGAAAAGTGCCACCGGCGGGACTCTGGGGCGCGGGGCATGATGGGATCTGTAGGCGACAGGCGGCGGCAATTCCTTCTGCAGCCAGGCCAGCCGCGCACCCTAGTCCAGGCATCGGTGTTTGCCGGACAGTGTGGTGTGGCTGTCTCCCGCTGGGGTTGAGGCGATTCGATGCGGTTTGTTAATATGAAGATTTGTATTCTGTATCTTTTGTATTTTGGATGCATAAAAATATTTTAGTTTGCCTTGCTGCGATGTAAAACACAGGAGCCCCGGAGTCTCTCTCTCTGTACAAAGCACCCAGTTCTGTCCTTGGTGCCACTCCGAGGTCCATCCACCCCTTCTTATGGTAAGCAGGAGGATTCCTTCTGTCTTCTGTGTCAGTCTGGACAGCCAGGAAGTTCCCTTTCTCAAAATGCCTGCTACTCTCTTTGTTTTGGTCTTCCCCTTATTTTACCTGCCCCTTTTATACCAGTGTTCAGAGTGGTACTTTGAGCACAAAATAGGCAGCTGAAGACTGAGCACAGTTATAACCTGAGGTTTATCCTCTTGTCAGGCAGCAATGCCAAAGGGATCATTTACGCAGCGCAGTGGGGCTGGCACAGACCCAAGGCAGGAGTCCGTTCTCTTTGAAGTTCAGCTAATAACTTTAATAGCTTAATTTCGTATAAGTGGAATGACTTAAGCATATCCACTGTACCACTAGCTGCCTTTCATAGCTACAGTTCTGTGACCTGAAAGGGACTTTGGGGGCTTTTTTTTGTTTGTTTTGGATTTTTTTTATGACGAGCGCTACACAGCTATTTATAACATTATTTCCCCTGGTGGAGAAGTCTAAGTCAATAAATCTGGAGCCGGCATTACCATCCCATAGGAAGTGTATTACAGTGTGGAGAGCCGCCCGTCACGTGCGGCAGGAGGGAGATGTGCAGCACAAGGTGTCAGAGGCCGCGTGTGCCGGTGTGCACAGCACAGCGCGGCACAGCCCCGCATAGCCGAGCCTAGCCCGGCACGGCACAGCCCCGCATAGCCGAGCCTAGCCCGGCACGGCACAGCCCCGCATAGCCGAGCCTAGCCCGGCACGGCACAGCCCAGCCCAGGGGCCGGCGCG